AATGAGAGAGAGTACAACTGAGAATGATGCACCGAGAGATACAGACAGAGAAGAATGCAGAGAGAGACAGACAGAAGAGAAGAGGAGAGAGACCAGACAGAGAGAGAATGAGAGAGAGACCAGACAGAGAGAATGAGAGAGAGACAGACAGAGAGAATGAGAGAGAGACAGACAGAAAATGAGAGAGAGAAGAAGAGGAGAATGAGATAGAGGAGCAGACAGAGAGGAATGAGAGAGAGACAGACAGAAGATGAGAGAAGAGAACAGAGAGAATGAAGAGAAGAACCAGAGCAGAGAGAATGAGAGAAGAGACCAGACGAGAGAGCAGAGGAATGAGAGAGAGACAGACAGAGAGAATGAGAGAGAGACAGAAGAAAGAGAATGAGAGAGCAGAGAGACAGAAGAATGAGAGAGAGACAGACAGAGGAATGAGAGAGAGACAGAGAGAAGAGAGAATGAGAGAGAGACAGAAGAAGAATGAGAAGAGAAGACAGAGAGAGATGAGAGACGAGACAGAGAGAATGAGAGAGAGAGACAGACAGAGAGATGAGAGAGAGAGAGACAGAGAGAGAGAATGAGAGAGAGAGACAGAGAGAATGAGAGAGAGAACCAGAGAGAGAATGAGAGAAGAGACAGGAGAGACATGAGACGAGAGGAAGAACAGAGAGCAGAGAAGAGAGAGACAGAGAGGAGCAGACAGAGAAGAGACAGGAGAGAAGAGAGAAGAAGAATGAGAGGAGACAACAGACAGACAGACACAAAACTAAATTTTCTTCTTCCTCCTTCCCTCCAGCTGCAGACACACGCCCGGCCCTCTCACCTTCAGGAGCCTGTAGATGCCACGAGCAGTTGAGACCAGAAGTGAAGAGGTGGGGATAGTGGGGGGACACGAGCTCTCCACGTTCCTCCATGGACACGTTGACAGTCGCCCCGCAGCCCTGTCATGAGGACAATACAGTGTCATACAAGTTGGGAGTTTTAAAAAGGCCATTCATTTCTTGAGGAGACTAGCGTTGAGTGACAAGAAAGCTAGTTTTTTGTATGTTTTCATTAATTTATCTATTGTTATATTTACATTCTCTGTGTGTGCAAAGGCATACATATGTGCACGCACACACGCACACACACTACACACACAAACACACACACACACACACACACCACACACACACACCACGCACACCACCGGCACACACGCACACACGCACGCACGCACGCACGCACGCACACCACCCACACAACACACACGCACACCCACCCCACGCCACTGCACACTAACACACACGTGCTGTATATATATATATATATATAAATATATATTATAATATATATATATTATACTATATATTATATATATATATATAAATATATTATATATAAATATATATATATAAATAGTATATATAATATTTTATGTGTTTTTTATTTAGTATGTTTTAGTGATCGTTTGTTATTATTGATATATGTAGGTATTATTTGTATATATTATATATTATATACTATATATTAATATAGTACTATATATACATATATTATGTTCTATTATATATTTACTATAATTATATATTACTTATACAGTTACTAGTATATTGTTAGATATTGTATAATATAGTGTTATATAGTAATATAGAGTTAATATAGTGAAATATAGGTGTATATACTGTATATATTATTAGTATATATTACATACTATTATTATACATTATTTAATGTTAATGATATATTATTAATATTCATTAGTATATGTATAATACTCATATTATTAATCTATATACTATATATCATCTATACCAATATACATATATCACATATTATTATATCAGTTATAGTTGATATACATAGATGTATTTATATACCTAATATATATATAATATAATAATATTACTATATATATAATAATATTATATATTATATATAATATCTAGTATATAATATATACTATATATTATATATATATATATATAATATACTAATATTATAATATACATATATTATATATATAATATATCTATATAATATCATACATTATATACATATTATATTTACACATTTCATATATTTACTATATTATACCATTTATACTAAATATATTATACATTATATATATATATATACTATTATATACTATATAATATATTATACGATCTATAATATATATATTAACATTATAAATATACAACATATAATATATCCTTTACGTATATATATACAGTAAACATATATAATATTATATTATATACATATACTATATATATATATTATATATAATAGTAATACTACTATATATAGAGGGTATAGTATAATATATATATATATGCCATAGTATATTTCATAATATAATATAGCTATATTTATACAACTATTATATATTATTATAATATACTAATAATATAGTTATATATATTAATAATAATATATATATATATATATAATATAATATCATACGTTTATATCATCATTAACATATATATATATATATTATATATATATATATATATAT